GCACATGATTACTGCCAGGTATAAGAGCCATGAATCCCTTTATGTCCCCTTAGCCTAGGACAGAAATTGGGTTTTTAAAATTTCCAAGTTGCAGAGTCCTGACTCTTACACAGATGTTTAGAAATATTAAAGATCTATTTTTATTGTTCTCCCAGTGTTGTTTTCTGGAGTTCTAATAGTTATAGGTGATTATTAATGGAGGGAAACATGACTTAAGATAACATCTACCGAGTACTTCCTACATGCTAATCTCAAGTGCTTTCCATATAGCAGATAGATTAAGAAGCACATGAAGCAAGGTCGTGGGGTTGTGAGTGAATTAGCTGAGGCCTGAACCTAGGCCAACTGGCCTGAGTCTGTGCTCTTAGTGACTGAGCCAGTAACTGCAACCTCATTCCTTCTATGAAGTCCTTCATAATGCTGTAGAGTGACAGAGAACAGGCGTAATGTCTCCTCTCCTCTCCAGGCCTGGGTGTCCCTGGGTACTGTTTTAGCCTTCCATGATGAAGAGGGCCTGGTTACCCTTTGTAGAGAATTTGAGTACCATTGACCTCTAGGAAAGAACATTTGGAAGGAATGTGACTCCCAAGCTCCAGCATAAATTAGCACAACTCCCTGGAAATGCTGATCTTTCCTAAGTCTAGTGAATGATATTATTAAACTGGTGATGAATCCAACCAAATCCCAGAGTAAATTGCAGTATATAAGATAGAAAGCCAAGTGTTATGAGAATGAGCAACCCTACTGCTCAGGGCCTTCCTCAGGTGAAGAGCAGGATGACCTGCCATGCTTTGTGGGATAAAGTCACTGGGTTTACATCTCCCACTGACAGCTCCTGAAGCTCAAGTTCTCTCTGCCCTCTGTCTCAGTCCCCACTAGACTTGCCAGATCTGAATTTGCACTGAATCTCTTGATTACCTGTGGAACCCCTGAAACTGCAGCAGCTGCTGCTATTTCAGCTCCTTGAATTTATGAGCCCCAATGCACGTCCCTTGCACCTGCCTGAGCTGTGGCTTTTGAAATGTGCAATGACATGGTGGGGATGGGAACAACAGTTTCCAGGCACAAGGACAGCAGAACAGAGATGCAATTCTGAGATTAGAAGAGCAGCAAGAGGGCACCGGTGTGCGTGATGTGCACGCCTTCCTTGGGACGCCAACCACGTCAAGAAGACAGTTAGGCCTCCTGCTGCCAGAGTGAGAGGGCATCTGAGAGACACAGTGACATGATATAGGAAAAAGACATTCTGAGGCCGGGTGTGGAGAGGCTGCTTCTTCATCAGGGATGACCTAGAGAAGATGCAGCACTTTCCAAGGGTCCTTTTAGGAGAAGGTTGCAGGGCCCCAATGAGGTAAGGATACAGACACATTTCTATTTTCTGTTCTTAACAGAGATCAGTACACACATTGTTTTCCTTCAAAGCTCAGATCAAAATGACTTCAATCCAAAGAGGAAGCCTGTCAGATAGGCTTCATGAGTTCTCAGCTCTATTTGGCTTTAATTTGGGGTAATCCATTCCCCATATTTGTCTGATCCTCAGACCTGCTGTATTGTCAAAGCCTCTAAGGAAGGTAGAACAAGGCAGAAGGTGGAAGAGAGATGTAGATGGTGCAAGAGAATTAAGGAAGGTGAATTCTGTAAGCCTAGAAGGACCAGATTTCTCTGCACCGGCAGATGTAGGGAGCTTCTGTCCCCCCCCCCCCGCCCCCAGCATCTGCTGGCTCTTTATGCTCTGACGGCATCTCTCTCGGTGCTCAATCCCCCAGAATCTGGTGCACATCTCTGCTTATGTGTTCAATAACTCCTTGAGCAGCCAAAGGGAGAGGACTCACGCTCTCACCCATGTCAGTTCTAATCCAGCTAAGAAGAGATTTATGGGCTCTGCTAAAATGAAACTCATTTAACACATCACTGCTAAGCTTTCAAAGCAGAGTCACTGGGATTTAATGAGTATAGTAGATGTGTTTTTTTAAAGAAAACCTCATTATCTGAAATTATGAGAAAAGATGACTCTTAGCTTATACTTTAATCACTGTTACATTGCTTTGAAGAGACACTATGACCAAGGCAACTCCTATAAAAGAAAGCATTTAATTGAGGACTTGCTTAAAGTTAACTTGCTTAACAGTTTTAGAGGCATGTCATCATGGCAGGAAGCAGACAGGCACGGCACTGGAGCAGTAGCCGAGAACTTTCTGTCCTTATACATGGTCATCAGGCACACAGAGATAGATAGATAGATAGATAGATAGATAGATAGATAGATAGATAGATAGGCAGATAGATATACGTGGATGGACAGACAGACAGATAAATACATAGACAGAAACAGAGAGACTGGGCCTAATGTTCAAGGCCCACCCCAATAACATACTTCCTCAAATAGGGCCATACCTCCCAATCCTCCAAACAGTTTACCAGTTGGCAACTAAGTATGTAAACATATGGGGGACATTCTCATTCAAATCACCACAGCTTATATTTGCCAAAGCTTAAGTAGTATTAACTTTGATCAGAGAACTCTTGAAAGCCCTGGATAACAACTGGGTAAACACAAGATAATACAGTTAAACATGGCTCCTGCCCACAGATTTCAAATACAGGTTGAAGACTTTGCCTTCAATCTGAGTTGAACCCTTCATCAGAGTTCAACCGGATGATGTTCTTCCTGGGAAGAACTAGAAGAGGCATATCGCAGTAAAAATTGTTAGAGGCCACAGGACGGCTGCCGGTCCCTCCATGCCTAGAAAGGGCATACCCTGAAGAACGCAGAGCTGCAGAAAGAGGTGCTCTTGGCCTGATCATCTTCATTACTGCCGTGTGTGTGTGTGTGTGTGTGTGTGTGTGTGTGTGTGTGTGTGTGTAGGTCTTTACAAGCCAAGGTGAGTGTTCGGAAGTCACAGGACATCTTATGGGATGTTTGTTCTCTCTTCCCAAGTGTAGGTCTCTGGTATGAAAATCAGGTTGTCAGGCTGATTTTGACAAGTTGACAAGTGCCTCTATCTGCTGAGCCATCTCCCTGGTCCTGGGTGTAAAAATAAGGTGTTTTTAATTTTTTTTAAAGTAAGTTTTGAATGTAATTCATGTAGTTGTTATCTGTTCAAGCATAGAATTGTTTTTTTTTAGCATATTCACAGTTGATCACTAAGTTTAGAACATTTTCATCACCTTCCCCCAAAACCTTTTATCTATTCATATCCTTTACTTTTCCTTATGACCATTAATTTTAATTTTAGTTTCTGACATATGTGTGGACTTCCGTGTCTGGTTTCTTACACTTCATGTATTTTCAAGGTTCATCTGTGTTGAAGTATGTAGCAGCACTTTGTTTTTACCGTCCAAGTTTCTACGTCTGTATATTCATTTTGTTTATTCCTTTCTCGGGTGATGGCCGTTTGTGCTGCTTTCAAGCTCTTCCTATTACAGGTAGGGCCGCACCGTCACTCACACATCCACATCGCTAGGCCCAATAGCAGGGGTTTGGAATCAGCCTAAATGTCCATCGGCAGAAGGGCAGGTCTAGGAAACGTTACACATCTATACACTGTAATTGCATTCAGTTATAATGGAACTTGCACGGAAGTGGAGGGAACTGGGAACCATTAACTTAAGCAGGGCAGGCCAGGATCAAGAAAGACAAATTATACATGTTCTCTCTTGCATTCGGACCCTGGCTTTTGTTAAACATGTATTTTCAGGTGGGAGGAAATAAAGGTGAAGGCCAGGAACCTAGAAAGAGGCTAAGGGCAGCTCTGAGGGAGGAGGCAGGGAAGGCAATAAAGTAGAAGGGGGAGTAAGGATGGTGAAAGGGCACATGGCAGGGGAGGAGTTCTGGGAGCTGAGGAGAGCGGGCAGGGATGGAGCCAATGAAATCTGTATAGCCAACTCCACACGGCAATTCATTACTTCCTAAGCTAAAGGTGTAAGAGGCGTTCACTCATGCCTTTGTGTGTTTTCAGTTCTTTGTGCATCTGTCTAGATCTCCAGGCCACCTAAGTACCTACACATTGGACATTCTGCGGAGCTGCAAACTGCTGTTCCAAAGCAGCAGCACTGTTTTCCTCCCCCAGAAAGGGGACAAGGGCTCTCACGTTCCTCTTGTAAAAGTTCTGTGACTGTCTTCTTTAGTTGTCCCAGGGGATATAAAACAGAACCGTGTAGTCCCCAATGGTTAGTAATGTCGTGCATGCTTCATGTGCTTACTGGACATTTATGTATCTGGGGAGAAACCCTTTGTCCCTTTTTAGTGGTGGTATGCTCTTGTGAACAAGTTCTTGCAAATGCTTGATTCAATTTCCGTGTGAGAGCTATGGCCACCACACACTGACTCCATTTTGTGAGTCGTCTTTCTACTTATGAGTTTCATTCTATGCACAAAAGTTTTTTTTAATTTTGATGAAATCCAATTTGTTCATTATTCTTTCCTTTTGCTTTTAAGAAACCGCTGACTAAAGTCAACAGTTTAAGCTTTCTTCTAAGAGTTCTGCTGTTCTGCTCTTTGACCCACTTATTTTTTTTTTATTATAAAACACTACTATGGTCTCAATTTTATTCTTTTGCATGAATATATCTAGTGGTTCTTGATCCATTTGTTGAAAACACCATTTTCCCCCACACCAAGTGAATTTCAGCACAGTTGTTGAGTGAGATATACCTGAGAAGTGTAACTGGCAGTTTAACTATAGAAACACATTTTATAATTCATGACTTTTCAAATCTGATAAAAACAGAACATTTGCCTCCTGTGTAAAAGCCTATGTTTGCATTCTTTTTTCAAAATGAAAAATCTATTTCCCTCAATAATAGTTATAACCTTTGAATATTAACTTGAATAGAAAATATCACAAATGCTTGAAGACTTACACACTATCTTTTTGCTATTGAAAAGAAGACTACTACAAATGGAGTAACACGGTTATAACGATCATGAAGAAAACCCATTAATTCTACAAGCCAGGTTAACTTCTCCTACAAGTTAGATTTATTTGACAGTGATAAAATGCCACAAGAAATAGTAATATAAGCACCAATGGAGTTTCTTTAATAAAAAATCTGGAGGATTTCAGAACACAGATTTAAGTATGCGATGTGTAGAGTAAAAGACAACAACAAACCTGTCTGTTTGGACTCACATGGAACTTCCAGAAAGTACCAATAAAGTCTACGTCTGCATCCACGTCCTACTCAATGTCCCGATGAAGCCGGGGATAACAAGAGTCTGGAGACGACTTGCGAACATGTGAGATTTGTTTAATAGCTTTTGAAGATTTTTCCTGTAAAATGGCTTGTATTTCCACAGGTACAACAGTGAAGAAATAAGTTTTCAATTTGACATGAAATATAAAAGAACAGGTTTTTACAAATATAGCCATAAAATTTAACTGCGTGTAACACTATACATGGTGAGAACGACCAGCCCTCTTAACGCCCGGATTATTTAGTAGAGAGAAGCAATCTGTGATTTCATCCTAAACGACAGAACTTCGTTCTCAGCATGTTACTTTTGTTTAGAAAGTTAAACAGAACTGGAACATGTGTCTGTTTCCCCTACTGCTCACTAGGGAAGTCGTGAGGGCACACACTTGCTGACGCATTACTAAAAAGCAACAACAGGACCCTGTTTTGTTTTCACTGTTTCGGTAATGCTTAGGATCTTTTACCAATATTCTGACGTTATCTCATAACATGACTGGAGCTGTGTCCTATGCTCATCACAGGGGCTTCAGACCCTTAATCCACAGAAGGCAGAACTATGGGACCTTGAGACTGACAGCCAAGGGAACAGAACCATAGCCGGCTTGAAGTCAAGGTCCTGGGGTCTGTCTGGATTTCCACTGTCAGAGGCAAGACTGTGTGAAGATGACACTAAGCGTGGCATCATTATCCGCCTCTGGTGTGCATCCGAAGAAAAGAAAAAAGCTAAGTGAATCATGGAACAACCTTTAGCACACTTAAATAGAAAGTGTGTTTTCTTCAAAGTGTTCAAATATCAATACTGAGTTCCTAATTACCGAGGCTGGTAAGCAAAAATAAGAGGCATCGATGCGTCATGAGGAGTTCTCAACTCTCCTACTATAGTATATGTAATAACTTAAACAAATTTCCCTACTAGTACTGGGAAACAAATTCTACTACAATCACATTGATGCCGGTCCTGGCACACTTCTGCACCTAGGTTAATTAGTCTCCTTAGTGGAGCCCATCACGTTTTCCAATGGCTTTCTCCTTTCTCTACACCCTAACCCTGAAAGTCTATAACCAGTTATATCACGTGGCTTCCCTGAGGCACAAAGGTACCAAACCCTATAATTAACTATTGAGGAATGATATAAATATGCTCTCTATTTATATTAAAAGTTTTAATTCTTTTGGGCCACAGAAGGATGGTGGGCTTGATGAGGCGGGGAGGAGACCCAGAGCTTAATACTTACTCTGCAGTGTGAACTGTAGCCCTTTTTGCAAAAAACCCAAAAAAAAATCAGAGAAATGTTAGAGCCACATGACCCAGCAGCACTGTTTAATAATAATTTAAAAAACACTAGAAAAATACTCAGAGCTATACCCCACTCACTCTGAATTTTTTTTTTAAGAAAAATGACACAACTGAAGAAAATATTATCTATGGAGGCATGTCACTAGGGCTTGACTTCTGGAAACCTATTTGAAAGGGGGTAAGTGGTCAGGCCGAGACCAGGATGGTGGTTGGTGACGTCCTTACATACATGTGGGTGAAGGCTTGGGATTCATCCTTTAATGTGATGGCACACCAAACCTGAACACGGAATGACCATGGAGGACCGTCCCTTGCTCAACTGTATCATTCTACATGGCTGCACTACAGTTCCTTAGTCTCAGAAACTAAACTGTTTTCAGACTTGAAGCTCTCCTCAGTAGAAAGGGACTGTATCAGAAGCTGTCCAAGTCAGCATGGCTTCCTTTGAAGGTGTGACCCCTCTGCTATTCCTCTGCCGGGAGGGGGACCTCACCTGGAGCCCGAAGGAAACGACACAGGCGTCACACCTGCCACTGCAGAGCTGCGTTTATTACCCAGGTATCAACCTGCACTTGAGCTACCTGAGTTATGATGTCATGAACTTTGGGGGCGGGGGGGCATATGCCACACACCGAAGTATGAGACATACAGTCCCTGACTCAGACACTCTGGCATCAGAGTGAACTTCATTGAAAAAAAGAAAGCTTTTTTTTTTTTTTTTTTTTTGATAGTTGAAATTTAACCTTTCTTGGTGTAAGACCTTTTATCTTAGAAGATAGTCCTAGCATATCAAGAATCCTCAGTCTCTCTCCATATGACAAGAAGAGGGAGTGAGTGCATCTTTTAACCCTTCTCTGACAACCAGTGATGGGAGCCCTGGCTGCCTCAGATGGCATCCAATAGATTTCTCAAGAAAATTCTTCCCTCCCTCCCTTCCTTTCTTTTGTCTATAGGGAATCTATGCAGAACCATAATGAGACTGTTGTTGGATTTTCATGACTATAATTAAAACAAAACAAAAAATCCTTCTTCCTACACATGGTCTCCATGGGAAAATAAAGTTATTTTTAAAATGACAGGTAAATCTAGCATACTTAGTCAAATTAAGCAGCAGTGTTGAAGAGTAATATCATCTTTTTGCATTTAAGAAAAAGTACTCAATAGATTTAATTTGCTGAAAATAGGCAAAATATCTGCTAACAAACAGGCAAAATATGGAGAAACCAATTCAAGTATGGATATAATATCAGAATCACATTAACTATATATATTTACAAAAGCTGAAACAGGCAACTCAATCTGTTGATGTTCCATTTAAGCAGATGGCAGTTTAACCAAAGCTTTTCTCCCTGGGAATGGGTGGAATGGAGCTTAAGCCCAACAGCACCTCTACCTTCTGGGAGCCACAAGTACTACTGGCACTAAGCACAGAAGATGCGCATTCGGGAATTATTAATCAACACAAAATGAAACGAAAAGAGAGGGATGGTGTAGCTCATATGAAAATCTGATTTAATTATTTCTCAGTAAACACTCCCTTGCTCTCTCAAAATCAGGAATTTCAAAAGATCTCTGCAGATGTACCGCTCAGTGCTGGGTGTATCTAACAATCACATTTACATTTAGTTTCATTTGCAAACATTTTAAAAACTTACGGGGTTCCTTAACCTGAAAGGGATGGCGACAGACAGATGGTAGGCAGGCAGATAGTGGACAAAAATGACTGTATCATAGTCATTTGCTGCTTTTGGGCTTTCTTATAAGAGACGAGGACACAGAGGAAGAGGAAACCATACTATGAAGTGCCAACAAGTGGTTTTAAAAAGCAGAAGCATATTTTAAATCCCTCTTGGGTCTTAAGCAATCAGTATGCAGATAAAGCTGACAGGAGAGTACCCAGGACACGCCCACTGCCGCCAGCAGCTACAGCAGCCCCACTTAGCTCCTGTCACACTGCCACCTCAGTTCATGAACTTCAAAGAGCTGCTAGACTTCGATCACTCAACCAACTAATCAATCAATCAATTCTTGACATGTGAGATGAGGACCAGAAACAGTCCATATCAAACAAAAATAACAGAGCAGACTAGAATACGGGAAATTCCTTGTTTGACATGCCAAGTATCTGATGAATGAGTGTGTAAGTAAATTCCATTGAAGTTAAACTATAATAGCATATTAATATTCTCTTCTACCCAAAGTGAGAAAACTAAATGAGAAAACAAGCTGCAGATTTCAAGACAAGTGCCCGGCCTGTGTCTCCTATCCACGGGAATCATGGCAGGGCCGACCCTTTGGGGTTGGGTCAGATTCTGGCCACTGTCAGGTATTCCCGGCCACTGCACATCACAAGATGAGTGACAACTGTGCCACACAGCTCTGCAGGCTGTCCACTAAGACATCTGTTGAATACATTTCTTCTACATTTATGAAAAAAGATGTAAAGTCTTACCCAAGTTTACAAAGGAAAAAAAAAAAAAAGATCTGGTTAAAAACCTAAAGTTAAAAACAAAAGCATGGCAGTTGAAATCCAGTCATTACACAGGTGTTAAAGTTTAATCGGGCAGACCTCAATGACGATGCTGCTGTTCCGAGAACACAGAGCACAGCCGTGTCTGTCAACTCCTGCCACGTTTCATAACCAGCCCCGTCTTCTTCCCCAACCCAGTCCACCTTCCCCTTAACAAACAGCATTACAAAAGGTAGAATCTACAGTTAGTGGCAAAATCTTCACAGTAACGTGTTAATAATGTGTAGATGGCCGTCCAGGGCGTCAGTCCACTGGACCCTGGAAAATCAATTTGATGCAGTTCTGTTCACCAAGCAGCTGCGTGGCGCAGAACGGGCAGGCGGCGTGAAATGCATGGGTTCCATGGGGCAGTGGGATCTGAGACCAGTACTTTGCAGACTTCTCTGAACACACGTGTCCACAGGGGGTGAAAGCATGAGTTGGGGGTCCTGCATCGACATAAAATCCTGCCTCGCAGCCCAGCCAGAGAGGGACGTAGGGGCCCACAGTCCTGCACATGGGACACTCCCTCTCATTAGCCTCCGTGTCGTTCCGATGGCCCCAGTTGTGGTAGCCGTGCACATGGCCACAGCTCAGGTACGCCCAGGGCTGCTTCTCCTCCACCACCTCCTTCCTGCTGATGCTGGGGAAGGCCAGGGTGTTGAGACCCACGGGACACTGGGGTCGGGCTGCATTGATTTCCTGCCGGAGGGCCTCAATGTGCTTCTGAGTCGGAGTGTGAAAAAGGCCATCTGCGGTTCTCCAGAGAAGAGTGGCTCCACACAGGTCAATGAGGGAGCCGTCTTGCAGGACATTGGTCTCAGTTTCCACCTACAACAGGTTCAACAGACACATCTTTAAAAGCAAACCCCTGCAAACTCTGGCGGCAAAGGCTCCCCAACATCCTTCCTCAGTAACTAGAAAAACAGAGAGCACAGGGAGGTAGCATTCAACTCTAAAAAGGACATGGGACATCACCCTCCCGAGCCTCAGTGCCTGTAAATGTTCAGGGTGGGGCACTCAGAGCGCAGTGTGCCAGCTTCTTCAGTTCCACTAATGCAGCGGGTACTTTAGGAGTCCCGTAAACATTACACTTTTATTTTTAACCTTTTATGTGGGTAATACACCCATAAACCTGAGGGACGAGCGCTGTCCTGCCCATGAAGACCCATGCTCCTCTGGCAGGGTATCCAACACATTCCTGGTGACCCTCAGTGTCCCTTACCTATGCACACCTAGAACTGTCTTTCACTCGTTTTTCCTAAGGTCAGAGGTGGAAGTCTTCCTGGAAAGCCTTTGTTCTCACAGGATGTGTGTGCTACGCACCCGCGCTTGCACAGGACTCAGCCCACTACTCCTGTGCCGGATGCATACAAAGCCCAGAAGGGAGAAGACTACAGGACAGACAGACATAGACAGACAGGACCGGGAGGTAGGCATGCCTGGAGCCAGGGGTAAAGGAAACACTGAGAGGCCACGGATGCACAATGGCTGAGACTAGCTTTGGGGCCTCTGGCCTGTTACGGACCTGGCTCTGCCACTTAGAGCTGGGGTGGTTACTGGAGCACACCGCCACACTCTCCCTTTTTTTAGGATGTGGAAGGTGGCTATGAGGGGTAAGTAGGTTAGAGCAAGCGGAATTCTTGGACACGAGGTCTGGCACACAGTAGACACTGTTTGCTGCTGGTACTCCGATGAAGACAGGTCAGAACAGGTTTTGACAGAAGTTTTCCTGAATGGAGATTTGGAAAAGATGCCAGGAGCCAGGAGGAGGGTGGTGACACCAGCACACAGAGAGGTGTGACTACCCTAGGCACGGAGTCAACAGGCACTCGCAGGACAGGCTGGGGTTCTGGCTGAGGCCACGGCACCAGGCACCAGGCCAGGGCCAGACGGCCAGGGGGAGAGGTCTGGGCGCCAAAAGAAGATGGATGTGCCTTCCGTCAGCTCACATCTAGCTGTACAGCAGATGGACTGGAGGGGTTCCGGCAGCTGGCACAGGTTCTCTCTCCAGACAAAGACCTGGGGTATACCACACATGGAAAAGAGTATCTGTGGCAACAAAGTTTCAGGCTCAGTGGTCCTGAGATCTTGATGTGAGAAAGATGCCCATAATTTTCCATAGATCTAAGGCATGCTGTTGACAGACACGAACTTTAAAAACAGGCTGTCTGGGCTGGGGAGACAGTTCAGGGGGTAGAGCACTCGCCTTGTAGGCAGGAGAACCTGAGCTCAGAGCCCACAAGAGAAAGCCAAGTGCTGTGTGCTAGTTGTCACAGAGACGAGAGGGTCCCTAGGTTTCCCTGGCTAGTGTCTCAGCCTAGTGGGCAAGGCCTTGTCCAGAGGTTATCCTGTCGTCTCCATGTGCAGGTACAGATGCACGCATGTATACACACACACAGTAGCAGCCGCTGCCGCCATTTTTGGAGCTGTTTTTTTTTTTTAGCAAGCCAGGCAAAAGTCTGTGACACATGCTACTGCCTAAGCTGTTCTGCAATAACCAAGGAGAAGTAAGCCACCTGGTGACATGCTCACTGGACAGTCTTGCCATAGCGCCCAGAGTATGCTTTTAATATTATTATCATCATTGTTATTTTATTATTTATTTTTTCTGCAGGGGATTGAGGGCAGGGCCTTGCACAGGCTAGTAAGAGCTGTGTTACTGAGCTGGCTTCCCACTCTTCGGTTTATGAGACAGGATCTCACTATGTAGCCCTGTCTGACCCAGAACTCACAATTTGCTTGCTTCTACCTCCTGAGTACTAATTAGAGGCAGGGCTACCATGCCCGGCTCAGTATGCAGCTTCTTTTCACACAGGTAGCAAACGCTCACATGTGAACCAGCTCAGGTGAGCGCCCAGCATGGCCCTCTGTGAAATTACAACTGGAGCAGGAATCTGAGTTGTGGCTCAGGGCAATATTTGACTTGGGTGTGCTACTTCTCTCCATAAATGAGGTGAGAGGATCTTGCCTCTTCAGAAGACCGTGGTGCAGAGTGGATGAGCTGTGTGCTTGGTAAGGAACGCTCCTGCACTGTCTGCCCAACCATGTCTTCGTCTTCCGCTGCTGTAACAATTAATCAGCAAATCAATTGTTCTAGGTCAGTCTTGTGTAAAACTACAAAAAGGAGCACCCTTTTTGTAAAAGGGATTGTTTTCAAATCCCTTTTCTATTTATAATTTCTTGAAAAGTATTCAAATAAAACACAGTTTGCCTGACCTTTGCCAGAAAATGCTTTTCATCAAAGCACTGAAAAAAAGGTGGCTTTACTGTAAGGTGAGGGGGCCTTGCCTGTCCAAGAATGGTGTGAAATAGAAATAACAGAAATGGCACCCAAGAAGCAAGCCTCGGGGACAGGACAACAATCACCCATCAGGCCCCAGGTCCTTTCTCCATCTCAGAAACATCTGGTTGCTACTTTCGTCTCTGCAGTTCACAGATCACACACACTCCACTGTGTGCTGTGTATGGCTACTCTGAGAAAGGCCTTTCCTATAACCCAGAAAAGGCACATGTTCTCTCCCAGCTTCTATGTAAGAGAGCAGGAGTGAAAGGGGAACAAGGCTATTAAGGGCTTGGGCCACAGCAACGGCACGATCACAAACCCGAGACCACACACTCACAATCAAAATGGACAAAACAAGCATCTGTTTTAGGACTCCGCAATGACACTCACGAGGTGCTAGCATGTTGGCACAGGAGTAGCTTTAAGTAAAATGTTTGCTGTCCCTGGTGAACAGTACTGAGAATGCTATTAATTTCTAACCATTAAACTAAGGGGGGGGGGACTTAATTATTTGTTAGTTTTAGAAAATCTAGACTTTATTTTTTAATTTAAAATTTTCATTCACTGTCTCAAAATGTCCAGGACTTTTCTGGATTAGTAAACTATTATGAGGAAAGATAAATTCTGTAATGATAAATGTAATAAATGACTGTTTTCTCAAGACAGTCAGGACCAAAAAATACCTGAGGCACTTGCCCTCAGGTAAGCCCAACTCTGAGGAAAGGACAGCCACCCCGCTCCAACTCTCTAGCGCTCATGGGACTTCTTCTGGATCTGAGAAGGGCGCATTCAACCCTACACAAAGGCTCTGAGCTTCATCAGTGGAAAAGTGATGGTCACCACGAGCATCTGTGCTTTGGTACTTTTTCTGGAGGGAGCCCACTCACCAGCTTTCCCCTCTGCTGGGCCGACCTAGTCTCTCGCAAGGTGTACACGTCTCCACAGACAGAGATCTCTCGCCAGACTCCAGGCTGGGACTCCTCTGTGAAGCCGCCTTGGGGGTGCATTACCAGGACACCATTGGTGGTGAGCCCGTCCATGTGGCCATCGGGGTTTTTCCACTTGGCTGCTTTTTCCTGGAGAACAACACCACAGACCAGAAAAAGCATGCTAAAGCGCCACTCGAAAAGCGGACTCCAGAGTCTCCCTAAAAGACATGAAAGCTCGCCAGGCACGGGGGCTCACGCGTTTAGTCCCAGTACTTGGGAGGCAGAGGCAGGTGATCTCTGGGTTCAAGGTGAGCCTGGTCTACAGAGTGAGTTCCAGGATAGCCAGGGCTACACAGAGAAAGCCTGTCTTGAAAAAGAGAATACATGGAAAAGGTAGGAAAGAGCACAGGATTTCCCTTTCCACTTAAAGCTGCTGAGCACAGGATGAGTGTGCTGCTCGGACGCCAGGAGACATGACACTGTCTGAAGCTGAATGGTTCCCTCACTGCACATTCTCCTCAGGAGTTTAGACATACCTGTACCAAGCTCTTTACCTAGACACCGCTTTCCTTCCCTGGGTCAAGCCTGGAATCTAAGCCTTCACTTCTGCCTGTTCTTACCCAGGAACCTAACAGTGCTTTTTGCATGCACTCATTGCCTGGTTACAGAAAGAAAAAGAACATTCTAAAGAGAACTTTAAAGGTACAAAATTAAAAAAAATATAAGGTAATGATTTGGGGGCTAGTGTGTTTCCATGCACATTGCAATGTCTCCCCTTGAGGCGGACGGCAGCAGTAACAGGACAGACATCCTCTATTGCTGTACTGCTTTGCCGCCCCTCCTCTCTCCTTGAGACAGAGCAGGGCAGGGAGGATCAGAGCCCTACTTTGTAGAAACCCATCGGAGTAGCCCCAGGCTTCCTAATGCCTGGCAAAGGGTGGGGATGTGCCTGCCATGAGGTGGCTTTGCCCTGAGAAGTCACAGGAGTGCACAGCCTCACCACCTCCCCCTCCTTTCTCAGGGAGGTGTCACACACAGGAGCAGCCCTCCGCCTCCTCTCGGGCCCCAAGTGGCTGGTGTACCAGAGGAGGCGGTGGGCAAGACAGAGAGAGCCCAGTCCAAGATGCCACAGGACACAGCAACAAGGGCTGGGCTGGCCTTCCTCAATACTCCCTGTCACCTAGGACAAGAGACTTTTATTATCCTTTAGGTCACAACGGACAGTTTTCTCTCTGCAACAATATTCTGGTTCAAAGGTATTTGTATTAAGATAGAATAAATCACTAAAGCTTTTGGGGATTGGTTTATCACGATACCCCATGTGGGCAGGGCTTTCTGTTTTGTTAACATATCACAGTGGGCTACAGCAAGCACTCACCTTTGTTCACCTTTCAGTGAACAGCTCACTAACAGTTTCCTCCTTCTTCTTCCCTTTGAGATAAACATCTCAAATTCACCATAAAGGTATTATAATGTTAACATATACTCTTTTAAAATAGTTAGTGCATACGCTATAACTGATACAGCAAATAGAACGACCACTGAGTAATCTACAGATTGTTTGCTTTTTATTGAGGCAGGGTCTCTCTATGCAGTACAGGCTGGCCTTGAACTTATAACCCTCCTGCTTCTCTCTCCTGCATGCTGGATTCACGTGGCTAGGCTTTGAATTAACCTCAGGTTTTTACTACTGTCTTCTCCACTGGCCTAAAAATCAAAACATGAAAAAAAAAAAAAAATCTAACTACAGTCTTCACAGAAAGCAACTTCTCCGCAAATTAACTCTATCCCAGCAGTGGGTGAGATTCTGAAGCCAGAATATAGTCATAGTACTTACTCCAAGAAATATGTTCTTGGAAGAGTCGAATCCAGCTGCGAATATGCGTGCTGTGTATGGCTCGTTCCTGTCACACACGATCCTGCAGGCAAACCTGGAGATGGTGCTCTGCGTGATCTGGGCATCATCGTTCTGACCGCCAGAAACGGTGTCTGTGACCACGAAGTCGATAGGGCTTTCTGTTGACCTGCCCACCTGGGGAAACCGAACACTCTCGTGACTCACATCAAAGACATCAGGCTCCGTGTTGCAGAACCCTGCCAACTTCATTATCTTTGCTTAATCAACTGTCTGCCCTTCCTTGTTAGCTAAGAGAGAAATTATGGGAAATAACCATCAAAACTTTCATCTTAGCATGATGCCAACACTTAATCTACATACCCCCCACAAGTGAGTGTGTGTGTGCGTGCACAGGCCCACATGCAGTTAAGAGCCCAGAAGACAACCTTAGATGTCTTCTTCAAAGATGCCATCCATCTCCCGCGAGACGGCCTGCCCTTGGCCTGGAGTTCCCCAGTTGGCCCGGGCTAGCCAGTCCGCCAGCTCTGTGAACCTCCTGTCTCTGCCTCCCCAGCACTGAGATTACAGGCACACATCACTACCCTTGGTGTTTTGGGGAGGTTCTGGGGCTTGAACTTAGATCCTCATGCTTGACAGTCAAGTAGTTTACCATCCCCTCAGCCTGAGATGCGCACATACAAATGCATAACGACACAGGGATAATGCTGTCGAGTAGATTCCTAGATCTTACTCATTTTGCTTAACTGCAACTTTATGTCTATTACTCCAGCAATTTTAAGTGTCACGAGAAACCTCCGTTTTCTATTCTGGGAGAATGTCTCAGATCCAGTTGGAAATACTACTTCTGCAGCAAATTATTCTTTTTTTTAAATATTAATTACAGTTTATTTACTTCGTATCCCAGTTGTAGCCCCCTCCCAATCCTGCCCTCCCTCCCTCCTATCTTCCCTGCCCCTCTCTAAGTCCACTGATAGGAGAAGTCCTCCTCCCCTTCCCCTTCCATCTGATCCTAGCTTATCAGGTTGCACCAGGGCTGGCTGCAATGTCCTCCTCTGTGGCCTAGCTAGGCTGCTCCTCTCACGGGGAGGAGCCACAGAGTTCATGCCAGAGACAGTCCTATTCCCCTTACTAGGGAATCCATGTGGATGCTGAGCTGCCATGGGCTATGTCTAAGCAGGGGTTCTAGGTTATATCCATGCATGGTTCTTGGTTGGAAAATCAAGTCTCAGACAACTCCCTATGCCCAGATATATATATATATAGGTCCTTGTGGAGCTCCTGTTCTCTCCAGGTCTTACTAACTCTTCTTTCATATGATTTCCTGTACTCTGCCCAAAGTTTGGCCATGACTCTCAGCATCTGCTTTGATACACTGCTAGGTAGAATTTTTCAGAGGCTCCTATCTTGCTTCTCATTTTCTCCTATTTCCAATGGCCATCTCATTTGTCTTTCTAAGTAAGGATTGATCATCTTACCCTGGGCCCTCCTTCCCAAATTATTCTTTGTTTTCTATTTTCAGAGAAAGCAAACTGTCAGAGAAAGAAACAAAGGAACTCTTTGCTTGCTATACTCCCTAAGTCAGTCAGTCCATGACTTGCAGCACTGAGAAAACCAAGCCCTTACCCTGGGACTGAGGGAGAACAGTAGCTGCCACTGTTGAGTGACCTGGAGAAGAACATGGGCTGTGGGGTTTATCCAAGTCAGTCAAAAGCTCAAAAATGCAAGTGGAGGAAATGTTTAGAAGGGGCTACTCTTAGCACCTCATGTCCGGGTTAAAAAGAAACCTCTCTGGGGAGGACTAAAAGTTGCTACCAATATTACATTGGCTTCCTTTCCTTGGTAAGCTTTCAAAGCTTTCGAAGTGAAATACCAGGAGCTGGTATTTCACTACAGTCTTGGAGTTCTAACAGAGCCTATCCTGTTGAGTAGATTCCACTAACTCAGGTCTTCTTTCCCATTAACTAGAAGACACATTTGCTTGTAAGTAGGAAAATCCTCAGGATCAGATATTAAAAATTTATGTACTCATGCTTCCTGTCTGTTTGCCTGGAAGGCAGTGACAAACACAGCCTCCAATCAAAACCATTTACATGGAGATGAAGAATTCCTCACTCAATATTATGCCACTAAGGCCCTCGTCTGAAAACAGAGAGCGATTCAGAAGCTGCCCAGGGGAGGAGCACATGAGCCCTGGCATGTATGTGCATAAGGCCATGAAAATCAATTTCCAAGGTGGTTTTTATTCTGATTGTGAATTCTGCCTGAAAAGATAAGCAATGTAAAATACATGATTTTAAAAAAATACAAACGAATGAAGAGATCTGACATCATCTAGCTCTGCACGCTCCCCAGCAGCATCGCTGGTTCCCTTTGTACATTTCTCCTGTATGTCCCCATGCACAGACTAGCGTGCAAAGCCAACAGGCAACAATCTTTTCTTGTTTTTTAATGGCTCTCAATTCCTTGTTCTAGTGAAATGTACCTAGAATAAACGGAGTTACTGGTTTCACTGAAATTCATCAAGCCGAGCAGATGTGTATTGCTTAGCTATATGCATTTTGGTCTCAGAAAATATACAAGTTGCTTAAGAACGCAACATAAAAATCTAAATTAGAGATACCATAAAACCATACCATATAATTCATCTTCCTAAGGCTGTGAAAACTTCCCTTTGTTGGGTTCGTTTTCAAGATGGTTGTGTAATGTAGCTCTACTGTGACGGACAAAGCTATGAGCCTTTTGTTCCTGTTAAACTTGAAATTACTTATTGATACATGTAAAAGTTTTCTAAATGCACAGTTCAAAATAAAAGTGTACAAAGGCACAGAATGAAAGCGCATCTCCTTTCCTATTAAAAATACAGTATTTTACACTTGTTCTTTGAGAATTTTTATACACCATGTGTTTCCCTATTTTCCACTCTAAATCCCCCTCGATTCCTTTCCAGATCTGTCCCCCACAACTTCTCCTCCTTTTTTTCTTAAATCTGAGTCCAAGTAGTGATGGGCGCATGTGCACTGGTGTAGGGCACACGCCACCTGCCGGGATCGACAACCTCAAAGAGAGCTGACGTTCCCCTACCCGGGCCGTGGCCACCCGCTGCCAGCAGCCCCTCTCCCACCCATGCAGGCATTACTGATAAATCTGACCCTGTGCAGATCTAAGGCAAGCTCTAAGTTTCTTTTCTTGTTAAAAGCTTTTATTTTTTTAAAGGTCATAAATACTTAATAAATGTAGAAACATAAAAAGGAGAAAATGTGGCTTCTTCAAACTCAACATCATACCTCACCCTGAACTTTTATTCCAAGAGATGTTTAGGTGAGAGATAAATGTGAGAGACCCTATACTTTCCTGGTCACCTCACAAAACCTGAAGCCTGGGTTAATGTCCATCAGCCTCAGAGAAGGGAGGTGGCGGGGCTTCACACACCCTGGGTCCTAATATCCATCAGTCTTAGAGAAGAAGTGGGACTTAGTTGTAAGCCGAAAGCAAGCACTCTTCTAAGATGCCACGCACCGCTCTTAGAAGGCTAGGCAAGTGATCTGCCACTGAGGCCCGCTTCCCAGACTCACCCCTTCCTGCCCACAGCCATTACTTCCCTCTGGGAATGCCATGCTGCGACCTTATTCCAAGTCACTAAATTCATGCCTCATGATTTAACTGAAATTGACTAAGACTTGAGATTTTATTTCAACTGAAACATCCCTCTAGGATCAATTATTTTAAGCCATGCACTTACCTGGCTGGCCACATACGGTTTATCACCTACCTCCCTTTGCACCTAACCTCTGGAGTGCTAGGAAGAATTTCCTCCTTCAAGAAACAAGGCTCATATTGCTTTACCAGCAAAGAAATTTCAGCCACTTTCTTACTGAAACCCTAGTTGGTGTGGGAAACCTACAGTCCGTTTTTTCTTCTGTTGGATCAGTTCCACTTTCTCTTACAGCCAGTCATGTAGACAAGCTGAGATGCCTCTACATTTCATTTGACAGTTGAGTGGTACACAGGCCAAGATGCTTCTGAGTTCATCTGCTATTCATAGAACACTGGCATTCGGAGAATAGCTGTAGGGAGAGCTTGGACTTTTATATATAATGAAAGCACACTTACTGCATGCCCGCAGAGCCCAAGAAGACAGTGCTGACGTGGTACAAAGGCCTCTCTCATTTCTCCTTTCCCTCCTTATATACGTCTATTTTCTGACTCTTTCTTTCTGTGTCACAGAAGACTCCTGGATGCTTCTATCCAGAAGCCCTCTCTCAGAGATGCTTTGTATCCCACAGCTTTGCTCTTGAATGTATCCCCTGAATCTTCACTCACTCCTTCATTTGGGATCTTGCACTCATCAAACACACTCAGGAACACCCTGAACTGTGGCTAATGGCACAGCTTGGTTCTGGTTTCTGTTAGAGTCTAGCTTGTCAATGATAACCTTTAAAATATACAATATTTGAAAAGTGACCCTTGGCTTACTTAGATCATCTCAGCCATGTTGACCTGCTATTAAAGTCTCAATGGCTACTTTTGGAACCTTCTACTGCCACGAAGCATCTTGCTGCCAGCAGAGCTGGCACAGCCCCGCCCCGCTCCCATACCTGCCTTAGGGAAGCTCTCCTGTCTGCCTGCAGCCACCAGCTCTCACCCATCAGTAACATACTTCAGAAAAACACATCCATTTCCTCACTCAGCTCATCAACTTCCCTTCTCAGCCCAGGCCACCTTGCTTCCAGCCCCTCCCATGGGGGGCGGGGAGGGAAGGGCATCAGTACACCTCTAATCCCAGGCTGCAAGCCTGAACTCATCTGCCCTGGTATTCACCCTGCAAACACTTTCAGCCCCTCCCCGCCTCTCTCTTAGAGAATCCCATCAACTCTTCTTCCCAAGGGCCCAGAGCTCTGGCTCTTCTGGTAGCTACAAGCTAGCAGACCCAATTCACCCAACACCTAATGACCGTCTCTAGTGTGACACACTCTGAGCAAAACATAAGACCTTCCAGCCCCTCTCTGGATGGTAATGGCGGCCATACAATTTGTTCAGTCTGAACATCAAACCCAAGAACTGTCCTTAAGTCTTCCCATGGTCCCGCTGTACAACCTCACCCCTGTAGCTTCCAAGCACACGTTAAGTCCTTCCATTTTCCCTTCTTCCAGTTATCATCACTGTGTACAGGGACT